GTGTTTTGTCCTCCTCCGCCGCCGCCCTCCTGTTATGAACCGACCAGAAGTGCGCCCCGATCAGCCACACAATGAGCACCAGCAGCACGAGACCCACACAGCGGCAGCCGCGCACCGCCACGCTCGTGCACCGGCCGCGCACCGGACTGTCGGGCGGCGGGCCGGCCACCAGCTCAGCACGGATCGGCTCGAAGCTCGGCTCCGGCGCGCTGAACGAAGGGTCCACTGTGCGGGCCCAGTAGCTCATGGCGGCGCGGCCGGCGCCCGCCGTCGACTGGCGGCGCCGCGTGCGGCCGGCGGCCAGAACAGCGGCCGTGCGCGCCGCTCGCGCGCGCCCGCTCGCTCAGGGTCGATCGGCGCACGCGAATCGATGCGTGTTCGTTTTAGTCGCTACCGTCCGGAGGCTGGGGATCGATGGAGGCTGGGTGGTCAGAGCGGGTGTACCTGGCCGGCAGAGCAGACGGAGAGGCGGCCCAGCCGACCCCGCGGCAGCGCGCCGGCCGGCACGGTGTATCCGGGCGGGGATATCGGTGACCGCTGACCGCCGTGGTAGAAAGGGAAGCGCTGGACAGCGAACTCGGGGGACTAATGTCCCGCGCCCCACTGTGGGGGGGGGGGGGGGCTATTCATAGCCCCTCCCGTTTTTCTGCAATAACTTCCAAACCGCTTGGCGTATCGACGCCAAACTATCAGTACCTTCGGCTGCATTAATTTGACACCTTGAGTCAAAATATGAACTTCGTAGCTACCATAGGTCGGCCTATATTGGGATTTTAATCCCCAAAAATTCAAAAAATTGATTTTTTTTTTCAGAAAAAAACGCAAAAAATCCAAAATTTTCCGAATTTCGAAAAAACGGAATACATGTGATAGTCCCTTCGCTCTTCTATATGCATACAAAATTTTAGTTCGATACCTCCTTTTTTGGCCGAGTTATACCTACCGATTTTTTAAAAGCAATTCTTAGCAATTCTAGACCACCTAGCGCAAAACAAAGATCACCATTGAACTCCCCGTGACGAGCTGCATCGAATCAATACCCATTTTATGCAAAAATATCAACTTTGAAATTTGACCTAATTTGACCTGATTGACCTGACCTTCACCAGATCATAGTCTCAGTTGACCCCAAAGGCTGCCTGACCTACATAATCGTATTTGGCATATAAAACGGACCATAAAACATGCATCAAATGAATTTTCATATGTGAACCTCAGTTACCTGACCACTGTGACCTGACCTGGTATCAGTGACCTCAAATAGCAAAATATGTGTTTGACGAACATTTCCCCATCGATAATTTTCAATGAAATGCATTTTACTTGATTTTACAACGCATTTCTTTCAATGCCTGTAAATGGTGAAAATTCGACATTTGACCTGACCTATGACGTCATCGGTTTGACTAAGGTCAATGAAATTGGGTCACAAGGTAGTTTCCTGTTGAGGCTATCCAAAACCGTTTGCCGCTTGTCACTATCTTGCGTGGTTCTCGAGATCTTAATTAGGGGGGAGGGGCAAATTGCCTCCCCTCCCAGCAGGGCGCGTTGCTCGGCAGACCAAGGAAGGGAGGGGGTGTTCAAACGCCCCCCCCCCCCCAGCAGCGCGTGGAAATCAAGGACGCTTGGTGGGGCGCAGACTAACCCTCGCACTTATGGAGGAGGGTCGATCGGACCCCTCGTTTTTTTTTCCAATAACTCACGCAAAAACGGCTGTTTGCAATGAAACTTCAAACCTTCGAGTTAATCAGTTTTACACATACCCTGGAAACTTCGTGACCCTGACCCAAGTGACCTTTGACCTGTGACCTATTTCTCGAGACCATGTTTGGCCGGAATCGCGATCCGGCGTAGGTATGTCGGCTCGCATTAGCCGCGCGTTTGCAGGTTTTGTGTTGTGAAATGATGCTGGTCCAATGCATTATGGTGTCAGTGGAGGTCAGGTCAGGTCCGTTGATGACCTCGGCTCACTTTTTCGAGTTTTGCAAATTTCTAGGCTAGTATTTTAGCTGAATTCGAATTTAGCAACCATTTGAACATTTACGAAAGAGTTTCGGTGCCTTCTTAACATGTTACGAAGCTGTCAGAGGCGGCTAACACTACTACGAATATCCGGCAGGACCCCTACTGGTTGACCTGACCTGACCGTCTGACCCGACCTGGCCCAAATGCATGAAATTGAAGACATCATATGCGATCAAAACTAATGATCAGCATCCCGAAAAACCCAATAGCAGCCACTCTTTACGACGGTTCTAACAGGGCCCCATTTTCCCGACTTTTGGGTCATTGACCTGACCTGGAAGGTCAACCAATAAGGACCTTAAACTGGGCTTAACCCGCGCCCCACTGGGGGAGGGGACTATTCATAGCCCCCTCCCGTTTTTCTGCAATAACTTCTAAACCGCTTGATGTACGTACTATTGAGCGCAGAATCCGCGCTCATACCGGGACCGAAGCGGGACAGGTCTGGTGTATCAGAGAGTGTACCGATAGTGTGCTGCGGAACAGTATCCCATCCAGGCGGCTGCTGTCTGGTGAACTTGGGTCAGCCGCCGCACGGAAGGCAGCCGCCCCGGCCTCCCTCCCCCCCGAGTGGGGGAGGGAGGCCGGGGAAGGGGAGCGATTCATGCAGTCGCAGCCCGCGCGGAGTTAGTGCGGCGGTGTGTACTGTGTATATTGGGATTATTTCTCCAACAAAGTTTTGGGTTTGCTTGAAGTCCACTGATCACGGTGGCTGTTTGCTGAGCAGATAGCTGTTCCCCTACACAGGCAGGCCACAGACATGGTGAAACGGTGTATTACTGTAATATGGCCGACCAGCCGGGCCGGGGAAAGACCCCTTTCTGTAGGAATGCGATTAAGGAGGCTTCTGTGTTTTAAGGTGTGCCGTTACGTAGTTTGGGATCGTCCTTAAATTCCTCGCCCCTTCTGCCGTTTCGAAACGCGTCGTCGTAGAGCTTAGCGGAAAAACAGCGTATTGCTCTCGACGAGAGCTCGCGATTGCGCATATTACTTTTGACCATAGGTCAACATTTGACCTAGGTTTGGCAGGTTAAAGATCAAAGTTCGGGAAAATCGGCATTTTTAACTTTGCGCGCCTGTAGCGTCGCCGCTATGGCAGATATCGTCATGGAATTTTCACCATCGTATTTCTGGATGAATTTGGTGCATTTTGGTGTATAGTTTGTCACATTTCACGCGATAACTTCCGGGGCAGAGCGCCCGGAAGCCGGCGGGGTCGCGTTCGCGCCCCGGGTGGTCGAAAATGCCGTCTGACAGTTGGGGTCGGAAATGTGATCTAACCTGTCGGCAACTTCTCCTTGACCCTGAGACGCTCAATAAACCAAGTGCCCGAGCTTTATTTGGCCGTCAGATTCGAATTCAGGGCCAAAAATTACCGCCGGAAAGTCAAACTTCAAGAGGTCACCAGAGGTCACTGACCTGAACTAGACCTGACCTGACCCTGACCCTACATAGGTCAATGGAGGGTGTGTCAGTGCTATGTCAGTCACTTTTGACCCAAACAATGCCAAAGTGTAACCGATATCATCGTTAAAAGCACGAAAAACTACGATTTCGTGCAAAATCGGCCTGACCTTGTTACCTTTGTGACGTCATAGCTCTGTTACCTGACCTGATCCGGTCATTTTTTTCGCCAAAAGTTGCGCAAATGATGGTCAATAAGGTAGCCGGAAAGCTGGCGGCACTACGTGCCGCCTTTTTTCGCTATTCGTGAAAAACCTCAGGAGGGTGCGGCCCTTTCCACGGGCGACAATTAAAATAAATATCACATAGTGCACCAATCTTCCTTTTCATCTTTTGCACAACCGTTTTAGGAATCCTCAATGCAAAAGATGTCGAAGCCGGAACCGTAGTCGGTCGGAGTGAACAGTTTTATTAGTAGTCGGAGTCATTCAAAATTTGTCGAAGCCCTGGGTGCTGATAAAACTCTCGCTGTCAATGAATTTGACTAATTCATTGTTAGAGGAAATGACTGCAATAGAGGAATGACTGCATGCTAGTAGCACCTACGTCTAAAAACGAAGCTTATCAGTTTTTTTTTCAAATAATAAAACAAGACATGCCAGGAGTGTCAGCTATATATTTCTTCAAGTGAAGTCCTGGGGTTTGTCGGATAAAAGGTTGAGTAATCAAGTCTATTCTCACTGCACATAATCCAGCGATGCTATATATAGGGTGTTCACTAAAAATTGACACAAACTTTGAATGACTGCACATCAAAAGTGAAGCAAGCTATTACGATGCAACTTAGCATGGAGATAAAAGGGACATTTTTGTATCATACCGAACATAAAATTTCATGGGTGTAATGAAAACAGTCGCGTTGGAGGTCGTTTTAAATAAGGCCCACCGAAAGCCAATTGGCACGCTTTCCCAAAATAGTACGTCAATGGGAGAGTCTGGCACGTACAAATACCTAATGAAAGCTTAAAATGTCGAAATTAGTTACATACCGTATGGTGGGACGAAAGTTCTAGTGGGTGTGGGAGTCAGAAAATCTGAAGTGGTGCAAATGTGAAGATACTGACGAAAGGAAAGGTCGGGGCCCCGAAAATGCACGTGGAGGGGCTTTTTGGCACCTCACGATGCAATGCTGCCGATCAGTAAGGTATTAACTGTGCCTAAGCGAAGAACATATATCACACCTGAGGCTAGGATGAGTTACAACCGGCGTAAATGATTTCTCGAAGCGATTGGGAACAACATAAGGCAAGAGAAGTAAATAAACAAAGGTCAAGAAAGCGCCACAAATTGCAGAAAACGACCGATCTATTTAAGGAAGAAAAATCATGTTTTTGTCAAAGGGCGACAATTTACTAGACAATGGAGTGTTCTGTAGTGATGTTATCAATGAATCAAGAGCTAACGTCCATTTAGCATCCTAGCTAACGCTGGATGCCGTGGTACGTGTGTTATTTCAGAGCATATCATCAGTTCGACTTTATTCCTCCAGGCCGGTCCTTTACAATATGATACTTTCTGAGTCAAGTGTATTATTTAGCACTAGAGGTTCATGCAGAACAACATATGTAACCAGAAGGTGATCTTCTGGTCCGACCTCGCGCCAGCACACTAATCAAGGGGCGCCTTGGGGGCTCCGGCCGATGTAAAAATTGCATGATTGAAACAAGGCCCGATAAGCCATTTGCCACGACTGAAATTAACAAATGAGTATCTAATGTGATTTGCCGAAGGCTATTACGTAAATTGGTGTCTTTAAATTTGATACAAAATATCAACTGGCTGCTCATTACCGCCATGAATTGGCCAAATTCACGGTCCACTGGTGCCAGACCTTGTGAAAACACTTACAAGAAAATGTCCAAAAAATGACCTACGGGAATCAGGCAAATCTGTTGACGCTCAACGGTTTGCAGCAGATGCAATGTGCATTACAACAATGCCTCGTTTGTTTAAATCGGTACATTTTTACCGAAGATACAGCCTGCTAAACTTTGTCTCAATTTTTAGTGAACACCCTGTACAAGTGCTGCTGATCATAGCACTCCTAGCTCGCACTAATAGTTGAGACGTTTCAAGCCCCCTGAATATCACATCACGAAAGAAAAAAAATCAGGCATCAGCCTCTTGTCACTGAATCACATTTGTACTAATATACATCTTGCACACTAATCACATGTAGGTAACATAAGTAAAATTTATAAACAAAACACTGTTCTTTAACATTAGATGACAAACAAACAGAACGGTTTAGTAGGTGTGGCCGCCCGCTGCCTCGGAGCACTGCTCCAGCCGCTGCCTCATCGAGGCCACCAGGCTCTGGAAGTAGCCGGGGCGGCGGCGGAGCTCCTCCCATTTCGCCAAGACGGCGGCCCAGAGCTCGTCCTGGTTGAGCTGCCGGGCCGGCTGGTGCAGCTCCTCCTCCAGCTCATGAACCATTAGAGACCACACATTTTCGATAGGGTTCAGGTCTGGGCTCATTGAGGGCCAGCCCGCGAAACTGCGAACAAAACCATGTTTGTTACTCACTGTAACGTGATATAGGTTGGCACATCGGTCATGACTATGAAGCTGTATGGTGCAACGAATAACACCTGTTGGAAAATGTTTAATCATTACTGAGCAATTTTGTAAGGCATCTTAAGAACTTTTTAAATAATTGTTTAAGTTATCTCAATAAGTTTATAACAGACGGGGACGAGGCGACCAGGGGCAAAGCGGCCTCCCGCACATAGCCGTAGGCCTCGCCTCCTCTAATTGGGATGCGTTGTTGTTGGAGTGAAAATGAATAAACAAATAAATAAATAAACAGCATCTCAATTCTCAAATTTTTTAAATAATGCCATCAGGTCACCGATCACCTAGCTAAACCATACCACAACTTAATGCCGCCCCACACTGGACCTCGCATGCGGGTTGCGAGTTTGCGGGTTTTGAGCTTGCGGGCATAATACTAACTCATAGAGTAATTAGACCGTACCCTCATGGTCACTTCATGAATGCTGTGAAGCCGGTACACCTTCAGAAAACTACATATAGTCGCAATACCAGCATGAACGAACCAAAATTCGACTCCAACGAAAAACCCGCAAACCTCGTAGAGCTTGCAGACCTGGCAGCGAGGAAAATAGAAAGTTGACTCAAAATCAACTTTTGGAATGCGATGCAAGGTAGCTCGGAAGCTAAAAACATGCAGACTCGCTTGTTAGATAGTAGTGTGGGTCGCTCAGCTAGATTGTATTATTTGATTTTGAAGAAACCCGAAAACCCAAAAACTCGCAACCCGCATGCGAGGTCCAGTGTGGTGCAGCCTTTAGAGTTAGCAGCCATGGCAGGTTTATGATGCCACTTACTGAGTCTGCGTGGTCTTCGAACCACTGCTTGACTGCCCTCGCTGTGTGGATAGGGGCGTTGTCTTGCATTAGAGTCCAGGGTCGCTCCTCGTCGGGGCGCATTTCCTCCACGGAGGGCAAAAACACCTGCCGGAGTAGTGAAGACATATTTAACAACAATGAAAAAAAGCACATGTTCACAAGGGTATACAGTCAACTCAACCAGTGACAACTTAACCAACGTGGTTTGTGACAATAGAGCCAATGCATTTAGCACACTGGTTGAGTTGTCACTGGTTGTCACTGGTTGTCACTGGTTGAAATGTCGCTGGTTGAGTTGTCACTGGTTGAGTTGTTACTGGTTGAGTTGTCAATGGTTGAGTTGTCACTGGTTCAGTTGTCACTGGTTCAGACGTCACTGGTTGAGTTTTTACTGATTGAAATGTCATTGGTCGAGTAGTTGTCACTGGTTTGACCTGCTTGAAATGTCACTGGTGGAATTGACATGGAACCGTTTGCAAGAGTGCGGGGAAGACGGCGTGCTGGGCAAAAACGATATCTACCTGGATATGACTTGTGCAATCGGACGTTTACTGGTATTTGACCTGTTACACAAAGACCATAAAACGTTTATCTTAGGTTTTGTCTCTTGACACCCAGAGAGCAGGAAACCGCCAACCATTGTTCAGTTGGTTCGATTTTTTTATGTGCTCTGATTTTGTCTCGCAAACTTTACAAGCATTCAACATGAACATAAAATGTTTGAGCTGTGGCTCTGGCGACATTAAGCGAGATCCGAAAAAATTACTCGCTATTATTATCAATCCTTTCTTGAAGTAAATAGTTTGACACTTTTCTAATTTGAAAATGTTTGAAAAAGACCTGTGGTCGAAATAAATATTACATTCTGTCAAGTAAAGTATATATTTGTACAGCATTAGTTTTGGTAAATATCGAGGAAAAAAGGTCATGTGTTTACATTTTCTACTATTTATAAACATGTTCCTCGTACAAGCACTAACCTCATTAAATAGTTGACACGTTTAATCAATTAGACATGCTGTTTAATCGGCATATTATCATTATATGCTGGCCCGATTAGTCATTATGGCCCGATATTATCATTATGCTGGCCCGATTAGTCATCTGATACTACACGCTCGTCTTGACCTAGAAATGCAGAGACAACATCAACAAATAATAAAAGAAAAATACGAACCTCCACCATGTGCCTGTCTTCATCCTCCGTCGTCTTCCGTTTTCTTCCACACTTATCATAGCGCGCTTTCAAACCCCTTTCCCCTTCCTGCTCATAACGGTGTTTCCACCGTCTGGCAGTAGTTAGAGCTACACCGAGAATCTCTGCCGCCTGCTTGACAGAGTAACCTTGATCGAAAAGCAAGATGAGCCTGCCCTTGTCAAGACCACTGAGGTGTTCCATCACGCTCACGTTGACGTCTAGCCGCACACACTCCACGCGGGCTGCGGCCGCCTACTGCGGCTCTCCTTCCCCGGCTTTCCGCCCCACTCGGAACAGAAACAGCCAGGTCATGTCATTCCGTGACCCTCAAAGGATACTGTGCCGCATCACACTAATCGGTACACTCTCTGACACACCAGGCCTGCCCCGCCGTGACCCAGCCTCGGTCCCGGTATGAGCGCGGATTCTGCGCTCAATAGTACCTATCGCCGGCAAATTTTTAGTACCTTCGGCTGCATCAATTTGACACATTGTGCCAAAATTTGAACTTCGTATCTATCATAGGTCGGCCGGAAATGACGGCAGAGTGACGTCATGTTCGGCCGATTTCGACGCAAAACATTGAACCACGGGAATCACTCCCAAGAGCTCAGTTTTTGAGCTAGATCCAATTTCTTTGCATGAGAGGACTCGAAATGGACTGCGCTATCAAACTGCTATCTCGAAGTTTCAAAATTCTGAAAATTTTGAAAATTATTCATATTAAAATTCAAAATTTATATTTTTATTCTTTTTTTGACTTTTCGAAAAAAAAAACGCAATATAGGTGATAGAACACATGCTTATGACTGACTCTAGCAAGTTTTAGCCAGATATCTTCAAAAATGGCCAAGTTATACGCATCATACAAAAAATTCACAATTTTAAATTTTTCAAATCATTTTTTCTGTACGAATTTGACATCGTACACCAATATAAATAGCACCATCGTGTTCCTGAGCTCAAACTGCATCCGATAGACATATTTTTGTTGAAAAAAATTTCAACTTTGAAATTTGACCTTTTTTTACCTGAAAGTGACCTGACTTTAGCTATATTTAGATGAAAATGGCCTCAAATGACACAGGCGACACCGAATTCGAAATATATAGCCTAAATGGACCATAAAGCATGTGTAACGTAACCGACTTAGGGTAACTGTGGGGAAAACGCACCCCTGGGTTAAACGCCTCCCCTAAAAAAATCGTATTTCTTATCGACGGATAGGTGTTTTATCCTGTCTTTCAGAACAGTCAGCTGCTTGTTTACGTAGGTCTCTATTTCCGGTTCTGAGTCTTGAGGAGGAGCGTGGGTAGGTGCTGATGTTGGTTTTGGGTGTTGTTTTTGTTGTTTTTACAGAAGATTCCTAATATTTTGATGCCCTCTTTATATCACAAACCTTGCTATTGTGCACATCACTCAAAACTGCGTTTTATTGTCATTCTGTTGAATATATTATGCTGCGGCGTTAGTGGCGCGTTTTTTGTCAATATTTTGTTGACCGGAAATGGAGTGGATGGGGCAAGACGCCTACTCGATGCATGGGGCAAGACGCCCCCAGTTTTCTGAAAGGGGGGCGTTTTGCACGGTGGTGAGAGTGCAGGGTAGCGCCCTGTAGGTCGGGGCCGAAAAGGCCTCTCCCTGTCCTTTTTTGCTGATATATCCTAAACGACTGCAGATATCGTCACCAAACTTTCAGGACTCCTCCGGGCATCCATTTTACACATTGCAACAAAATGTTATTCCAAAGGCTATGATAGGTTGACTACAAATGACGTCAGAATGACGTCAAGTTCTGACATGTTCATCATTTTCTGTTGATAGATGGGGTGGGGGCGCTTTGCACATGGGTGTGGGCGTATTACCCAGGGTATGGGGCAAAACGCCCTTTTGCAAGGGTATGCGAAAACCTTTTTGGGGGGTTAAATACCACACGCAGGTGTCTTTTCTTGGTCTCAAAACGTAGTAAAAAGAATGAGCTACATGATGGTGCCCAAAGGTTTAAGTAATCTGTGTTGGGTTGAGTGTCAGAAGGTTTCGCGCTTAAGGGGGGCGTTTTTGACCTATTCACCCTATGACATAAGATTTCCGTGACCCATGATGACCTGACCCTGACCTGAAAATCAAAGTAGGTACAAGATTAGTACCCTCAGGGTATCTAAAGCATCTGTTCACGAACGTGTAAGCAAAAAATCGGCCTGATCTGACTTGTACCTAAGACGGCAGCCAGAGCCCAAAATGTGAGCAAGCCAAATATCGATAATATTTATTTTGACCTGACCTGTGACGTCATCGGTGACCTCGAGGTGAATGAAATTAGGTTTTGTTCGACAGTTTTTCCGGGGCTATCAGATGTCGTTTGAATTTTGACGATCGGCCCAGTAGTTTCGGAGTTAGGAGGGGGCTATGCATAGCCCCCTCCCCCCCCCCCAGTAGGGGGAGCATTCATTCTGGCCAGGGTTCATAATGTCCAGGGTACGCTATGCCCAGTGTCAAAATGGCCAGTGCCTTGAATGGGCCAGAGTTCATAATGTCCAGGGATTGCATGGTCCAAATGTGGCCAACTGGCTGCAGATAGGGTATATTCAAAGAGGCCGGGGTTCATAATGTCCAGGGCACGATGTGTCCAGTGTTCAAAATGGCCAGGGTTCATAATGTCCAGGGCACGATGTGTCCAGTATTCGAAATGGCCAGGGTTCATAATGTCCAGGGCACGATGTGTCCAGTGTTCAAAATGGCCAGTGCCTTGAATGGGCCAGAGTTCATAATGTCCAGGGATTACATAGTCACTGAAAGTGACGTCATTATGTAAAAACACGGAATCAGCTCAATGCAAAGCAGTGCAGTGCCGAAGGCAATGCCTTAGGAGAGATTACAGGCAATAGTAAATCAAATATTTTTAGGTTAAGTGGTTATGTATCTGGCTTCAGGCCGAAGGCCTGAAGCCTGATGCATAACCACTTAACCTAAAAATATTTGATTTACTATCGCTTGCAATATATTCATGCGAGAAACTATTTCCTTATCCCTGGTAGGCAAACATCATTACCTTAGGTTAGGTTAGGTTAGGTTAGGTTAGGTTAGGTTAGGTTAGGTTAGGTTAGGTTAGGTTAGGTTAGGTTAGGTTAGGTTAGGTTAGGTTAGGTTAGGTTAGGTTTGGTTTGGTTGGGTTGAGTTGACTATGTAATCCCTGGACACTATGAACTCTGGCCCATTCAAGGCACTGGCCATTTTGACCACTGGACACATATTGTGCCCTGGACATTATGAACCCTGGCCATTTCGAACACTGGACACATCGTGCCCTGGACATTATGAACCCTGGCCATTTTGAACACTGGACACATCGTGCCCTGGACAATATGAACCCTGGCCTCTTTGAATTTACCCAATCTGCAGCCAGTTGGCCACTTTTGGACCATGTAATCCCTGGACAATGTGAACACTGGCCAATTCAAGGCACTGGCCAATTCGAGCACTGGACACATTGTGCCCTGGACATTATGAACCCTGGCCTAAATAATACGCACCCCAGTAGGGCGTGGCGTGTTATACACAGACCCCAGTGGGGCACGGGTTAACCCTAGAACGCCTAGGGGGGGGGGTGTATCAACCCCCCCCCCTGAGGTTTTTTCGAAGTGCACGCTAAACGGCTTGTCGTAGCGGGCTGAAATTTTCAATACCCTCTGGGGCAACCTTTGCACATCTTTTGCCGAAAAAAATTGATCGGGTCATGTCAGGTCACGGAGTTATGACGTCATAAGAGGTACAGCCTCCGGCCGACAGTTACCAAACGTGTGCGCCGAATCCCTAGGTTTTCTGCCGGTGATACCCACATACGTATTGAGCTTAAACATTAACCCTCCCGGGCCCGGAACGGGGGGGGGGGGCGTTTTTCGCCTCCCCTGGCGAATATTTGCGATACCACATGAACGCTTAGGAGTAGACAGTAATCAGTGATCAGTACCTAGTTCTCTTTTTTACCGTAGTGCGAATATACCTATGCGATTATCTCACACACGATTGATACCAGAATAAGCTCTATTAGGGCGATCCATATACATTTCCAGATAACCCGGATATACATACCTACCTATCACATTTTGTCATACCTCCCTGAGCTCGGTCTCAGTCTAAGGGTTCCCAAAAGAGGGTGAACTCTTGCCTGGCCGATTTTGACAAGCTGCCTCTCAACCTCCTCGGGGTCAAGCTCGAGGGCAGCCTTCTGGTGAATGAAAATGAGTAGGAAAATGAGTGGGAGTAGGAGATATGCGACAGACGGTCTGAGAACGAACGTTCTGCTGATGCACTTGATACGGGAACCGTCAAAAACAGGCGTACTATTATAACCGCCTATCATGAATATTGCACCGGTCTTCTGTTCCCATTTCAACATCAGCCAAATTTTGTGGGGGCAAAAACATAGTCTTGCCCCCACAGCCTCCTGCCAGTGGGGGCAGTCTGCCCCCACTGCCCCCACGGTGGCGCCGCCCTTGGGTTCAACGCCCCCCCCCCCCCCCCCCCCCGAGGCCCGATACGTTCGCGAAGCTGGCAAAACACCAATACGGGCGAGGCTGTATAGTGCAGTATATCGTGCATAAGCCAAGGTAAGCGGACAAACAAACAGGTGACATCTGAACCAGTAAAACGTCGTTGATTCTACGAGTAAAACAATCATAAACTGTTTCATCATGAAGGTAAATGAAGGAATCCTTCATCTTTTAATGACGTCATGGCTGCAAATTTTGTGCTGCCTCGCGTGCAAGTTTGTTCATTTCGCCCAGCCTTAAAAAACTTTTTAGGGAAGTTTGCGCGTTTTCCTATGGTAGGGTTGAGCGCGTTTATTTTTTAATTTTCGCCTATTTCAAGCGCACAGGATATGGAATATTTATGCTAGAAAGCTGTGCAACATATTCATGAATATTTCGCTCATGTGACATTTGTTATGTAGATGTAGTATGGCTAAAAAATGCGAGTCCAAAAACGTTGAAAGCAAGGGATCAAACAGCATATATGTAGATATTTTACATGACGGCGAAGGCTTCATCCTGGTATCCTACAACCATGGACCAAAGAAGTTTCAAGGAGTTCTCATGGAAGTCAATAGGAGGTAAGTTTTTCTACTTGTTGGCCGATGTCAATTGTCATGTCTGATCATGATTTCTCGTAGCATGCTGAGGTGTGGTTATGGTTCACAAGCAAGACCAGCTTTACATAATTTTTTTCTTGTTGGTTGGGTACCTAACTCAGTAGGCGGAACTATGGTCAAGCGTACCCATTTTCGGGAACGCATTTTCGTTCCCATGTTTGGGAACGATAAACCCAAATATGGGAACGCCATGTAGGCATTATTTAAAACAAGAAAAAGAACCGTTAAATGACGTCCAAAAAATATAAAACGATCGTGAACCGCCTGATATTTGTCTCAATATTGTTGGGAAAGAGTTTGATATTGTAAGGCCCATCGTAGTTTCAAATCGTTCCCCTATTTCTAAAGCAGTCCATCATCCGGGCCGCGAGCCCAAATTTGGGAACGCTCTCGTACACTGGCGCTGCAAGCGTTCCTTATTATGGGAACGGCGTACCCAAAATTGGGAACGATTTCACCGACGCCTTTCAGGGGCTCTTTTCATTAACAAGCATCACGTCCAACGCCGCAAATTATTGTTAACGCAACAATCATCAGATGACCTTTCCGGCAAGACCGTCGCATGTTTCGCCCGGTCTTCTGCGCTTTTATTCCCGTCGATCTCGCAGCGGGCACGCCCCCCTCTGCAGGATACGTAATTCACAACGCTCAGCGATGTTCAACAAGGTCTTCCATACCTATATCCACCGTCCGCGCCGAGGGTGGAGACATGTCAAGCATCTGTCTGTTTATCACCGATAGTTGACGAGCACAAGGAAGTATCCAAAAATGGGAACGCTGAATATGTTACACCCTCAAAACACCTAGTCCCAATGAAAATCTAGTTTTTTCCTTTCTTGATGAGTGTAAGTGGCAAAAGGCCTGGTAGGATGGGCACGAGGAATGATCGAAATCAGCATAAAAACTATAAATAAGCCACACAGAGCGACCTATATAAGAGAAATTCCCCCAAAACGATCACGCTTAGAAACACGGAAGACAAAAACCACGCTCATGACGCTCCTTATAAAACAACTCTAAACAGCTAGCATCCAAAAAAAATATATCTTTCTGGGATGATAAAATACAGCTGAATAATTTTAAACCACTGAAACTGAGTTTACAACAGTAGTTCGGTAAAATCACTGACGTTCCATGCGGTCGTGCGCCCCGACACCAAATGTCACCAATATTACCCCCGGACTGTCCGCGTGTTCGCTTGCATATGTCAGCATCTGGTGTCGCTAGTATGAAACTTCATAACCAGGCGAAAATTATTATACTTGACCTCAAAATGTAAAAAACGCTTCATTTTCCTTAAAATTGCAAGTTAAATGTAGTATAACCCATGTTTTCACCATTCCGTCATTTCAAAAAATCATTAAAAATATCATTCGACGGTCAATTTCCTTGTGCAACGGTCAGATTAAAGATAATTTTATAGAGACTTAGTAGATACTTAAATTAGCGTGCACTTTTTTGAGACGTGATGCACTAATGAGTTTTAGTGGGCGAACGGCCGAAAAATTACCTTCCGTTCCCATAAATGGGAACGCCCGTTCCCATATTTGGGAACTCCGTTCCCAAAAATGGGAACGTTCCTATATTTGGGTACTCATGACCATAGTTCCACCTACTGAACTACTATGCATACTGCACCCATTTCCCTCATGCTTGTCTTAACCCTCGCCCCGTTGGGGGGGGGGCCATTTTGGCCCCCCCCCCCCTGTGGTTTTTCCTGAATAGCAAGAAAACGGCGGCGCTGCGCGCCGCCAAATTTTCAGTACCTTTCCGGGCATCAATTTGACACCTTCACACCAAATTTCAAGTCTTAGGTCACCTTAGGTCAGGAGTTATTGAGGTCAAACTGAGGTCATGTTCGAGCAAAAATGAGCAAAAAACATGCAATCTTGAAACGCTCACCAAATCTACAGTTATCAAGCAATTTCAAAGTTCTTTATATGGTCTAATAGACAAAAAGCGGCGCTACAAAACTGCTATCTCGGATTTTCAAAATTTTGGGTTTTTGACCCAAAAAATTTCAAAAAATTGATTTTTTTTAGAAAAACTAGAAAAAAATCCAAAAATTTTCCGAATTTCGAAAAAAACGGAATATATGTGATAGTCCCTGCGCTCTTCTATATACATACCAAATTTCAGATCGATATCTCGTTTTTTGGCCAAGTTATAGCGAAAAAAACTGTTCAAAAATGATGACGTCAAATTTTTGAACTCAATTTTTAGCGATTCTAGACCTCGTACGGCAAAACAAAGACCACCATTGAACTCCCCGTGACGAGCTGCATCGATTCGATACCCATTTTATGCAAAAATATCAACTTTGAAATTTGACCTTATTTGACCTGACCTTGACCTGACCTTGACCTGACCTTGACCAAAACGTGACCTAAGCTGGCCCCTAAGGCTGCCTGACCCACATAATCGCATTTGTCATGTAAAATGGACCATAAAACATGTATCACACGACACTTTCATATTGTGACCCCCCAGTGACCTGACCTCAGTGACCTGACCTGGTATCAGTGACCTCAACTAGCAAAATATGTGTTTGAAGAACATTTCCCCATCGATGATTTTCAATGAAATGCATTTTACTCGATTTTACAACGCATTTCTTGAAATGCCTGTAAACGGTGAAAATTGGACCTTTGACCTGACCTGTGACGTCATCGGTTTGACCTAGGTCAATAAAATTGGGTCACAAGGTAGTTCCCTGATAGGGCTATCCAACACCGTTTGCCGCTTGTCGCTACGTTGCGTGGTTCTCGAGATCTTAGGGGGGGGGGGCAAAATGGCCCCCCCCCCCCCCAACGGGGCGCGTTGCTCGGCAGAGCCCAACGGGGCGCGGGTTAATCAAGTATAGAGTACACGTCCTGTGTCAGTCTGGTAGGTAGGTAACTAGGTACGTAGGTAACCTCCAGATCAAGATTTGCTGCTAGAAGATTTAATCATTAATGTAATTTTATGGTAAACCAGATGCTTATTTTGGAAATGTGTACAGTACTCCAGTGAAGTTCTGCTTGGAAGTTGAGCTGCTGATTGATGATCTATACAAACCTCACCCACATGGAACATAACAGGATGCTTTCATCTCAATGTCAGTATGCCACTGGAACTGAGTGCAAATGTATTTTTATGTGATAGGTAGGTGAATACAGTTTATTTTCTATGGGCTCTGGAACATGGAAGATGTGACAAGCCTCTTGCTATATTTGCCAAACTTTTACTTATATATTTTTGTCTCTCTGGTATAATTTGGTAGTTTTAGCATATGCCACTCACAAATTTAAAGACAAAGAGACATATATCTTTTAAATGGGTATTTTCATAACCCATGCAGGATATGATTAATCCAATCCGGAATTATTGGACCATGTCAGTGCTATTTTTCCTTCACCTTTTTGCCTGTGTTACCAAAAGGAATTGTGGAGCAGTGTCTGGTGCTGAACAGATGTTGGCATTGCTACCAACTTACTCATGTTTTCCCTTACTGAAATACAGGTGCCTTTTCATGTTTAACAGCAATGTGGCACTCAGCCTTTCATGGATTCTCTTATGACACCATTCCTGTTGACCTGATGGCCAAAGCTACAGCTGGGCCTGTCTATCTGAATGAGTGGCAGGGTTACTGGTGAGAGCTCCATCATCCAGCTACTGACCTATATTCCAGAGCTGAATGTTCTTCAGTGAAAATGGAAAGTAATTTATCTAACTGAAAACTTAAGGATTTCCCAAAATGTCTGGAGCAATATAGGAAACTTGTTACCCCATCAGTGCTACTTAATGCTGTTTCCATTGTAATTACAATTTTAGTAAGTTGCTGGTAAAGTGATAATTTCTGCCTCAGGCATCCTGGTATTGCATTCTTTGTTGTACTTTACAATAATCTTCCAATCAAAGAATGCATTGCTCAAGGTCCTATTGCCTCTCCTAATCGCCTTTTACCCCATTGTTCACCTTTACCGGCATTGGTATTGCCCCTTACCTAAACTGGCAACCGCCTGTCTGTGTGTTTCAGTGGAGTGCCGAGTGGGGTGAGGCCGCCGGCGTGGTTCGACGCCGTTCAGCCCGGCACCGACGCGCGCTCGCCCGACCCCAACGACCCCTACCACACCATCAGTACCAGGATGACCTACTTCCAGACCAGCTACGACCTGTCGGCGGCGCGCAAAGACGCCGGCGGGGGCGGCCCGGCTCCGCAGCCAGCCGCCAAGCGCCGCCACCACCACCACAAGGGCGGCCGGAGCACGGTCCGACTGCGGCCCCGACAGGTACTCTGTTCCAACTGTAAGAGTATGTGCACGGAGAGCTCGCAGAGCGTGCAGCCGGCCGGCCGACGCCGGAAAGATGGTGACGAGAACGTGGATCCGGCGGCGGCGCCGGTGGCCGCGGGGACGGCTCAGCCGCTCCCGCCGGCGCCGGTTGCGAAGCCGAGGCCGCTGGTGCAGCCGCCGGCGCCGGCGCTGCCTCCCCCGCCGTCGGAGCCGCTGCCGCCGCCGCCGCCGCTGAAGGTGCCCCGGATCCCGATCGTCCGTCTGAGCGCCCACCAGCTGAGGAGGAGCTCCTCGTGCGCTGGTGACGGCGACGCGGGAGACGGGGGCGGCATGGGCAGCTGCAGCGGCTCGTCGTCCTCGACCACTACCTCCCTCTCGTCCTCGGCATCGTCTTCCCCCACACCGCCGACAACGCCGACCCTCACCAAACTCACTGTCAGCCCGATAAAAATCGTCGGCAACAACGTCAAAAAGTGCGACCCGACATCTTCCAAACCGAAGCTGCAGAAGATCAAGATCAGCGGAGGGGCGATCGTCCCGCCCCCGAAGGCGGCTGCGGCGACCGCCGGAGCGGCGGCAGCTGCGGACGGGGACGTGGCGAGACGAACGGGCCTTCGGAAGAAGCGGCTGGCTGTCGGATCGATGGAGGATCTATGGGACGAATCAGTGCTGGATGACGGGAACCGAACGGCATCTAGTGAACAGGAGGAGGGCACTAGCTTAACGCCAGTGTTGAAAATCTCATTTGGGGGTCGCGAGGGAGCCGGGACAGTGCTGAAAATTCCGGCCAAGTATAAACTGCAGGCCGGTGAGCAGGAGACCGAGCGGCCGGCCGTCTCGACATGTACCGGGGTGACCACGGCGAGTCTGCATCCCTCGGCGCCCACGGCCAGCGCCAAGGCGGCCAAACGAGCGCTGAAGAAGGCTCGCAAGGACGTGCAGCGGAAGCTGGTGGGGTCGCCGCGCACCTCCCCGGCCTACCACCCGTGGGGCTCGCCGCGGGCGTCTCCGGCCTACACGCGCCTCTCACCCAGCTACCCTCAGATGTCCCCGGCGTACTACCGAGTGGCTAGCGCTGCGCTGGGCCTCTCTCCGGCGCATCCCAGCCTCTCCCCGGCACACCCCAGCCTCTCCCCGGCACACCCCAGCCTCTCTCCGGCGCACCCGGGCCCTGCGCCCGCCCCCGCCCCCGCCCCCGCCCCCGCCGCAGCCACCGCCCCGGCCGCCGCCGCCGGCCCGGCCCCAGCTCCCGGCCCGCTGCGCAAGAAACGGCACAAGCACAAACTGAAGCACAAGCGGCGGCGGCGCGAGCGTGGCGACCGCGAGGAGGCGTCCGGCGCACTGTCCTCCGAGGTGCGCCCTCCAGCCGGTGTCAGTGGGCTCGATTTTATTTTATTCGCCTGCCGAGTTCTACTAATAGCAGGGTGGAGCGGGAAGCAGGGGGTTGTTAGTGATAGATTTTACCTCTTCTCCGTGGGTTGTGTACTAAGAGTGAGCCTGTAGTTAACACTGTACTGCTTACTAACGGGGATGCCGGTATTGGTATGACATGCATGAAGCACGGTTGTAGTTTGATTGCACGCTGTATTTTAAATTTGGTGCATGACTTTGTCGCATGGAACTAAGGCGATTTATAGGTATACACCACTTCTCCTGAACTTAATTAAAACATTCTTAACTTTTATCCTGTTTTCCTTTTTAATATCTAGCTTTTTTGACAACTTGGGGATTTTTTTTGACGTAGCCCTCAGACCCTCTTGCATTACTCTGCATCAAGCCAAAGCTCTCCCTGGCATATTTATGACCGCTCTTGACAATTATTATTGTGTACTACAGACTGCTAGCTACAATTCTTACACCAACAGAAAACAATCATTACACAAAAGTTTAAATACGGGCATAGTGATTCGGACCTTGCCCTGGTAGCACGGAAAATGTGAAGTTTCACAAGATATTGTGACCCAGGGGCTTCGGCGTCATCCTCTTATCGCACTTAAATCTGCATGCACGCACGCATCGCTATCTGCCTTACCTACATGATATTGCGCGACATACTACGCCACTGGGACTGGTTCTATTGCTGTAATTATGTAACGGCTCTATGCTATAATTATGTAACATACGCTTCTTTTACCTCCCCACATAGTGGCACCATGCGTTCGCTAGTTTTTGCACGTATTGTCAGCTGGTGGGTGGCATTATGGAATCACAAACATTTGTGTTCTCAAGCCCAGATCTGTGATGCTTGTTTTTCGCAATTGCCGTGTTCAGTTCGCATATATGTAAAATGCCTCGGCTGATATGGGATGAGTTGCAAATTTGTCGTGAATTGCAAGCGGTTAATGTGCCGGTAAGGTTGTTCAGGCTCAAACCGTTAACCACTGTTTGACCCAAGTTTGACCAGTGTTCATCACCTGTTCCACTCACTCTGCTCGCTCTCCCCCTCCTCCCTCGCTCTGTCCTCACTGCCCCGCACCACCGACAGGTTCAGATGAAGGAGCGCTGTCTCTCGCAGAAACTGTCCATCTCCCTGCGGAGGATCCGCGCCAGCGAGTACGCCGCCGACGCGGCCTCCGACCCGTCCACCTCGGCGCCGTCCGCTGGTGGAGGCAGCGGGGTGCCGCCGTTCCCCGAGACTCCCTCGCCGCCGGCCGACACGTCTGTCTCGTCCTGTCAGCTGCCCGACGGACGGCGGCTCAGTCTCAATGACGTCATTTGGGGAAAGGTGCACGGCTTCCCCTGGTGGCCGGGAAAGGTGAGAGAGAAGGAGTGGGGGTGAATAGGGAGAGGGTGAGAAAGGGAGTGGGAAATTTAGAGGAGGAAGGAAAAGGGGATTTGGGATAGGGAGGTTGATGAAGGCAATCGTGTCATGCGATAGTACGCGTTATTTCCTTTCTTTTGACCATGTGTTATGAAAGTTGCCCTACAATACATGCCAAAATTACCACCAAACATGATAAAACGCTCTCCTGTGAAAGGGACACTCCCACCTTAACATTAGTTTTGAGTTGAGATAGCCAAATTGGTGGCCATGGCCTGCAAATACCGGTTTGGGCACTCACAACATCGACAAATGCTTTAATTCGGAGATATGGAATTTCAAACTTGCAGTTTTCGGATTCTAAGGGGCTAGTGCATTGGTATGCCCCCTTAGAATTTGTGACGTCAGCGGAGATCTAACGATTTTTAAATCTTTTACTAAAACGTTTGGTAGCACGCGGTGGTATATGCTGCTTTGCGCGCAACAAATGCCGCACTTTCAAATAAAGTCGCTAGGAACAGCGGAGATCCCAAAAAGTAAACAAAAGTAAAAGTCTAATATCTTGAAAACCGGTGAATATTTTTCGATGAAATTTGGTAGATATTCGTTTTCGCTCTTTCTGAACCGAGCGACATCACTTTCGTGCCAATTCATTAACTTTTTTGAAGGTGGGAGGGTCCCTTTAAGTTCCGAAAGTGTTAGTTACGTGCTTTTGCCTTTGGACGGCAGAAAAGGAATAGAGACGACCAGACTTAAATTCAATGTTTTTTGCGTTAATGGTAAGAGACATGCTTGTTGGTCATTCCGTCCAAGAAGTGATTGATGTTTGAGGAGAGGTAAGTGCTTCTCGACGCTGTGGCTCGGAGGGCACCGAAACAAAACTTTATTTCAATGAGTGCAAAGAATCGCTACCTGCACTCGTTTACACCGGTCGAGAGTGACCGAACCGAACTTCGCCACCGCTGAATATATTTCGCTCACCAGTCCTCTTCTCGGTTATTTGATCCCTCTACTGCATCCACACCAAATCCCTACCGAACCCCTAAAGCCGTTTTCCCTCTGACCCTCGTCCGTACCCGACAGGTGATGTGTATAAATGACGGCGGTCCGGCGTTCCAAGAGGCGTACGTGTCGTGGTACGGATCGACCACCTCGTCCCTGATGCCCTGCAGTCAGCTGCTGCCCTTCCTAGACACGTTCGAGGTGAGGAAATGTACCCCACTCCACCTTGACTGGTGTTGTTGAGGGATGGGGATGAACTCCCAACCCATGGATAGCCAAAAATTCGCACTGTGACTTCTGAAGAGCCCTTGTGATGAGCTGTTGCCTGGCGTATTTTATTTTAGATATTTGGAAGGACATCTGTATCCGTAGCTGATAATGGCAATATGCGAAAATTCTCTAGATTTTACAGTCTTCGACTTCAGAGAGAATTGGAAATATCGTATTCCTTCAATTTTTATTTCATGAAATGGCATAAAATAAAAACAAAAAGTCGATTTCAAAATTTTGTCAGTAAATTATATCGCTTGGGAACATTCATATCATAGTCTTGCATTGCCATACGTAGAATCCGACGTAATTCAGTTAAACTGTAACGCTTTTTACGACGAATCCCAAAAATGATTCTGTCACACTTATTTTTGTCCAGATGTCACAGCTCTGTAGTCGCCTACTCACCGACCGGAACTGACGTATTTCCGTTTCCGGCAGAGCCGTGTGAACCGGAAGCGGCGCGGTCCGTACCGAGAGGCGGTGCGCCAGGCCACTCTGGAGGCGGAGCGCGCGCTGCCGGCCGCCGCCGCGCCTGCCCCGTCCTCCGCCGCCGCCCAGGGACCGGCTCAGTCCCCCAGCCAGCCGCCCCTGGCGCTGGCCGGCTCCCCGCCCGAGGTGGACGTGGCCTCCTAAAGACGGACCAACCGGCCAACTAGGAATCTGACTAAAGAACTAACGCACCCAGGGGACGTGTGGTGCGCCCCCGGGTCACGGAAAAACGCTTACCGGCGCCGGCGCTGGCTGTTCACGCGCGGCACGTGATCGCACGTGACACGTGTTGACGTGAGGTAGGTACGTGTGACGGAGCGACGTCGGCCTCTAGTCCCCGACTCAGCCGGCCGTGTGGTGCCCGCGGCGGCCCCTTCCAGCGCCTCTGCAGCTATCCCCGCCCGTCTGTTTGTCTCTGTCTGTCTGTCTGTGCCGCTCCCTAACCCTGTCCTGCTCACGCTCGCCGCCGAACGCTCGTCAGTCGCTGGCGGACCCGCGAGTCCACCGGGTCCGGACCCGCGCCCTCATTCCGCTGTCTCGTCGCATTCCAGGGCTGGAGGACGGTGCGCGAGTGCAATTTCTTACTAGTGGACCTTGCATGAATACATTTATATGGTTGAATTTTGGGCTCTGGTCAATGCAGGGTGACAGAAGTGTGAAGCCTGACACCGAATGATGCTGTGTGGTTTCTTGATGGAGGAGTGAGGGGATCCTCGGAATCCACCAAGGTTTTGTATGTGCACTGCGTTACATTCCTGCCGCTAGGGGAGGGTTAGCGCCACCGAGTTAACGCCACATTGGACCGCGTCGGGAGGCAGAATAGTAAAACGGGCGATAAATGTGACATTCGGAATATATTTGACAGACAAGGCCTTCAAGGATTTATCCATTATTCCACAGCCATGCTCGGAGATATCTAGTGACAGCCATACGCCTACAATAAAACATACCTCACTGGGCAGTTATTGGTACACTTCACATAAATTCGTTTACACTAACCTTTCAAGGGATACGTAGGAAAAAGTTACATAAACAGTCTGTTGACTATGACAAATGGGAACACACATTAACCCGCGCCCCGCTGGGGGGGGGGGGGGGGCAGAATCTGCCCCCCCTCCCGTTTTTCGCCAATAACTTCTAAACGCGTTACGCCAGCGACGTCAAACTTTCAGTACCTTATCATACATCAATTTGACACGTTCCCTGAAAATTTGAGCGAAATCCGTCGGAAAATTTTTGAGAAATTGACGTTTTAGTGACGTCATGTTCGCCATTTTCGCCTCAAAAACGGCAAAATTTCAAACGCCGCTAACATCTTCATTTTTAAAGGAATCAAGACGTAACAAAAAAGGTTATACGTGATTCTACTTTGTCTATCAAATGGCTATCTCGGTTTTTTGAAAATTTTGGATTTTGGCCAAAATTTTTCAAAAAAAACTGACTTTTTCGGGAAAATATTTATAAAATCCAAAATTTTGAGTTTATCGAAAAAACCGGAATATATGTCAAAGACGAGGTCTATGTGCACCTACATACCAATTTTTAGAAGAATCGGTTCAAAAATGTGGGAGTTATTCAAAATTTTATGACGTCACGACACACAAAATTTTTGAAAAATGATTTTTTTTTGGAAGTTCTAGACCTCGTACGGAAACGAAAATAGCACCATTCGATTTGCCGTGAAAAACTGCATCGGATAGACAACTTTTTAGGCCTTAACAACCAACTTCAAAATTTGACCTCACTTGACCTGACCTTGACCTGACCTCGACCTGAAATTCATCCAGAGGTGGTCCATATCACTTATTGAGTGTGCCTATTGAATTCCATGAGTAAAATGACCCATAAAACATGTGTCGCACATGCCCTTTTCTATATTTTGTTTTTGGTGACCTGACCTGACCTGACCTGACCTTGACCTTGACCTTTGAATGACATTGTGTGCAACGAATATTGTCTTGGTAGTCTAAGAACACGTTTTGGGCAATCAGTCTCAGTCCATTCTTCGGCAACTACGGTGCAAGGCCGATACTGTAGAAACTTGCATTTTGTACCCTTGACCTGACCTCTGACCTACTTAAGCAAAAAATTTGGGCTCTTAAGATCCGCCTTGTTGAGAGCTTTCGATTGCCGTTTTCCCCGTCTTTCTACGACCATCGGTTCGGAAGTTAGACAGGGGGGGGGGGGGCAGAATCTGCCCCCCCCCCCCCCCCAGCAGGGCGCGTATGGCTGAATAGCCCAGCGGGGCGCGGGTTAACACATCTGTCAAAACTTGAGTAAGAAGGCAGCAATGCATTTAAGGACAGAACTTGTACTAAAAGAACGATGGGGAAACTCCCCTAAGATCCAGTTTTGAACGGCCCACCTTTTAGAAAGCCAACACCTTTTTCTACCAACACTGAGTGCCGCCGATAGATCAAACATACTCATGGCATACATGGTGCACTATCACAGTAAAGGTAGCAGTAAGCAGCCCTAAGCGCACATACAGCGTCCAAACACAACATGCATGTGCGCCATACCGACGTAACACCCAGATCTCCCGCAAAATTATGCAGGACTGGCGCGATGACAATTTAACAAGTTATAGCCTCTAATTCGCGACTAGCCTAAAAACACAGCTTCTAGAATAAACGCAGTAGGTCAATAAGTTTGTCTTCGCATCTGTAAAGAAGCAACAGCATATTTGACTAGGTGATTCATTCAGTTTTGTAAACTTTTCATAGCTACCCCATTTGCATAATACATATATAAGATCTACACTAGCGCAGCATCTAGACTGATTCAAGCTCACTTCATTGCATTTCGCGGCATTCTTAGTTGGTCATTGCCCACCAAATACGCGCGAGCCATGGTACACTAAATACTTTCCCCGCCCCTATCCCCCTATACCTGCTAAAAATTAGGGCATGGTTTGTACCAAAATGCCTTGACATTGACAGCCACTTATTTCACATTTTTAAAAACTCAAAAAATATCTGCGGCGTAGTGTTGTCCATTTCTCTTCAGGGGCGTAGCCAGGAGTTCGTCTTAGGGGGGGGGGGGGGGGGGCAAAATTGCAGGGCCCAAGGTAAACTCCCTCAAGATACAAAAAGTCATCGGATTTCATCCACTGTTGTTTTTTTTTTTTTTGGAGGGGGGCCAAATAAATTGAAAAATATCTATTTCAAAAAAGAGAAAAAATGAAAGAACTGAGGAGGCAAGCTATCAATGGGCCCCTGCTAGATGGGCCCATGAATAGCTTCATAGAGTCGCTCAGCCGGTTCTGAAGGCGGTCTGAGGATCGGTTCGGATGAGGGTTCTTCAGACCGTCAAAGGCCCCTACAGCCAGTGAGAGCCTCGTAAGCCGTCTGAGGGCCATGTAAGCCGTCTAAGGGCCACTCAGACCGACGAAAGACCCCCTTGCACTTGCAGGAGGGCCTTGTCGGACCGACGGAGGGCCCTCTCAGACAAACTAAGGGCTCGTTCGGGTTATTTGAGGGCCTCCTCTAACCGATAAGGGCCCCTCAGATCGACAGTGGATACGATCTGAGATCCCTCAAACCGACGTAAGGTCAGACCAACAGTCGGAAACCAACAGATCAACAGAGGGCCCCTCAGGTGAACAGAGGGATCTCCCAGGTCGGAAGAGGACCCCTAAGACTGACAGAGGCCCTTCATGTCGATAGAGCCCCTCATGTCGATAGAGGACCTCCTCAGGTGTGGATAAAGCCCCTCCAGTTGATCGAGGCCCCCTCGGGCGAACAAAGCTGGGCCCCTCAGGCCGATCGGGGCCCCTCAGACCGACGTAAGGCCCTCTCGGTCCAAAAAGGCCCCTCATGCAAATAGCGGTTCCTTTAGACTAACAGAGGACCCTTCAGAATATGTTTTACCATAAAATGCGCATATTATTTATACCTTGATTTTGTGTACACATCGTTGGACCCATCCCATCAACCCGGGCCCCCTGGTTTCAATAGGGCCCCAGGGCTCTAAAATTGTGGCTCCCTTGGACAGATAGTGGCTACACAGCGGCGTCAAAGGATCTGAGGCAGGGGCCTTTGCGTCGCCAAGGGCACACTGTGTCAGCCAAAAGGGGCCCCTATTCCAATAGGGGCCCCTGGCCTGGCGCGATGGGGCCCTTTTGGGCTCCAGGGGGGCATGGGCCCTTTGCCCCCTGGCTACGCCCCTGCATCTATTACAAATATAAATCCACCTATTCATTCTTCCCGCCATTACCGCCCGTTGCACCGACTACGATGTCCTCTATACCAGAGACCAGGGCGCCATCTGCCGTGCGCATCGCCATCTCCATGACCAGTACCTGCGGCCGGTCGGAGGCGTTATTCTGCACGCCGCAGACCAGTCGATCGGGACCGACCCACACATGTTTGACCGGACCCCCGCTGACCTCCGGGGTGACCAGGTTACGGACCAGCGCGCCGGTACCCATGTTCCAGAGTTTGACCCAGCCATCGCGTGAGCCGGTCACTGCCAGACCGCGCAGGAGTCGGACGGCCGTCACCCGCTGTCGGTGCCCGTGGACGCCCGACAGCCTGCGGCAGAGCACGGCAGGTGCGTCAGCGGGGCATGACGTCACACAACGCAGGTCGACGTGTGTGGTGACGTCATATCAGGGGAAATATGGTACCGTCATAACTCCCCGGGTAACTTAGAAACCTGGGTCGGAAATTCACATTCGGTAGGTTATTTGGTCGGTAATTAAAGTTTAGTAGTACCTTCGAACATCGCGCATAAACAAAGCCACTTTTACCGAAGACTTGACTCACGCTGAATAATATAAAACACGCTGACGACTGACGAGACATCCTATGCCAGTTTCATCAGTAAAACCTTAAACAAACGCCCACCCCTGAACCCCAAATCACTAATCACTCTCCCCAGGCCGGCTGAAGTATGGCCCCCTGTTCCATCCCCAAGCCGACCTACTTGTGCAGTACTGCGCCGCTGGCCAGCCTCCAGAGGATGGCGGTGCCGTCCTTACACCCGGAGAGCAGCAGACCCTGGTCAGACACGGCCAGGTCGGTCACCCAGCCGGCGTGCGCGCGCAGCTCGTGACGCAGTCGGCGCGTGGCCACGTCCCAGACGTTGATGGAGCCGTCGCCGTGGCCGCTCACCACCACACCGTGCGCGTGCTGCGCGAGAGAGCGGGGTGAGAATGTGGTGAGAGAAGGTACGAAGTGGTGAAGATCCTAGGTGTAGCCACGAAGGATGGGTGAGCTCGGTTGGTGGCACTATTGGTTTAAAGACAAGGCCCAGGCGACCGACCGACAGGCTGTTCCGATGCGATGAATATTCGTACCCTCGCCACCACTCGAGTGGGGTTGGGGTTGGACGGGGGTGAGGGTATTCGCCGCCTCAAAACTACAGGTCGCCTGGGCCCTTATCTTGAGACCAATAGTACCAGCATGAAGACTAGTTCACGTGAAAGACGGCTATCATTGCACTGCATTTGAATTGTGAGTAGCCTTTTTTTGCGAGAAACGTCAACAATAATTATAGAAAAAAGAAATGCTTCATCTGTGAATTTAATATCGTCAAGCCAACCGACTAATCGGCACTGTCAGACGGAGACCTGTGTGATTAAACACACCCTCAGCTCTATCAGATTCAGCTCACCT